CCAGGCTTTTTTTTTTCGTTTAATAGAAAATGTAAATCTACCCTCAGAAAGCAAAGTTGATATCATTTGGTCGATTCGTTGCAAAATTATGGATTCTTTTCTGTTTTTACTCTTTTATTCAATAACAACAGAAAAGGTAAACTCAATAATTAGTATGGCCACTATTTGCGGCCAGAACCGCCTGAAGACGTTTCGGCATTTAGGAAAGATTTTCGAGGAAATCAGTGTCCACTTCGAGTTCATGAAGAACGTCAGTGAGATTGCTCAGAAGCGTGGATTCTAAATAACGCCTGGGTCCATGCTTATGGTGCATTCCTTCTTCCACATGATCTTTGATGATTTCGCTCAAGTTTTCCGTCAGATCAGGCGAGTTACCAGCTCACTAATCATTGCCCAAAAACTGAATTCCCCGATTCATGATGACATTTGCTCATCAGATTTTTTTAGTCGACCGGTATTCGAAAAATTGGTGAAGCATTCCATCAGCTCCTTGTTCAAAGTGCTACCTCTGAATCAAAGCTCATTCACGCTCTGCAACAGGGTGACAGTGAAAATCAGAGAAAACATAAAGAAAAAGCACACAGAAAACACTAAAACAGCGGTAAGACTGCTCGGTGCAGTATTGAGTTGAACGCGTCTCAAGACATGTTAAACATGAAAGCATTATTGCTTGCGCGCGTGTTTCAGCAGAGTCATGAGAGTGGAAAGTGTTTTAAGTTTGCAAAGAATTGACCAAAATAGATTATTGTTGGTTTCCAAACGCAATTTTATTATCCTATCAAACAAAAAAAAAAGGAATTTCTGACTATTCGCGAACCTGCTTTACGACCCTGGCACATCATTTCGTGTCACCTTGTACAACCAGTCAGGAATTGAGGTAGAATGGTTCTAGCGCCCTGGATTTCCATGTTTTGCCTGTTGAAGGAAACCCTTCGAGGGCGGTGTTTCAACAATGACAAGGAGTTGCAACTGGTAATGTGTGCTACTTTGGTGTGTCATGCCTAAATAATACTATGGCATAAGGACGCTGGTTTACTGCTGAAACAAGTGCATGACAGCCTTATATTAGAGGAGGAAAGTAACCACGCCAAATTTCTTCTGTATGTATCTCACAAATACTCAATAAACACGTTTGCCCCTTTACTTGCGAATACCTTTTCGTAGTATGCATTCCTATAGAAGTGAAGGCACTCACTACAAGCAGTGCTGACGAATATATTGTAACGGATCCCGGAAAGAACATCACAAACAAAACATCGCGGAAAAAACATCGCGAAGCGATAACATCGCACACTAAAAACATCGCAAAGCGATAAATTTGCGAAGGTAGGCTATATACCTTCGCGGATTTTCATTTATTTTTATTTTCGATCATGAGTGCTCTATTATTATGTGATAATATTCGTGCAGTAAATGTAAAACCCGATTGAATTTGCATGAATAAGTATTTTTAATCATTTGGGAAATGAAAGCAGGGCGATACAATTGGTCAAGTTCACAGAAAAAGTGGGAATTAATTTAACAAAAGCATTGATTCAGTTTAAAGTTGAAGGTTAAAGGTATTGGTTATCCCGCGGAGGTAGTCCATCAAATCGCGATTGTCGTAATTTTCCATAATTGCAATGATGCGCTCAGCCCGGTTCTTGTAATTTTTGCGTTGGGCAGCTGGAGGAGCTCCAGCGATTCCATGCTCCACTTCCATCTCATTCCTTCCTTGATCCAGATTCAGCACGTCAATAAATTTCCAGATTGACGAGTGGTCGCAAGAAAGCAACGACTGAAACCCTTGATAGCTTTCAATAGCGTTGTTGGTCCTTGGAAGGCCTGCCTTCTGTACTAAATTTCCAATATCAGTGTGGACCTTCTGCTATCGCAGAAGCTCCACACTGATATTGGAAATTTAGGAGGCCTTCTTCTGTCCGCACGGATGAGTCTCCCAATCCATGAGCTCTCGAAATAGTCAATGAACGCGGCTATGAAGCTCTTCGTTCTCTTCATAGAACTGTGTCGCAGTCAACTGAACGAATGACTCTACCACTCGACTCTCGGGAACAAATGCCAATGCAGCCAAATGACGAGCCCACAAAGCAAAGTCTGGGTCGTTCCCGTCAATGTATCAGGTCATCCCATAAGTAATGTTTCTTTCTCTGTTTTTCAAAATTAAAATACACCTGCATCGCATCAAGTTTCAATCAAGTATATATTCCCCTTCGTTCTCTATGACTCTCTGCCACCTTTCTACAAGCATTTCAATTCCATGTTTATAAAATTCCTTTGGCTCTGAAGCAAAAAATGCGGACAGGNGAATTTCTGGAACCACCTTTGGCATTTCCTCGTATTCAGAGCTTCCTCACCATAAGCATCTCGAATGTTTTTCGTGGCTGCAGTCGCGTTATTCCCTTTCTTAAATTCATAAAGCATTATATGCCTGATGTGTTCTTCTGACACCTTCATCTTGTCTTTAGTGTCCAAGAAAAACGGAGCATTGTTACCTCGTGAAAACCTGCACGTATATTGACGACTAACCCCTGCACAAGTTAGCATAGAAATATTCCAAGGGATGTTCGCAGATACATGTATAAAGAAGACACAAGTAAGGCTATGCCAGAAAAACATTACTTATGGGATGACCTGATACTTCGCCCGAATGTCCCCTATGATATAACGATTGATGGTCTGACAAAGGTGGAAGAAGCAGCCGCGAACACTGATGCCGTCAAATGTGGCTCTAAACGCTTTTTTGGCAGCTTTTCCAAAGTCAAACAGCACCGATTGTGGTGCCATTGATGGACGCATGTTCTTGAGGGCTTCCAGCACACTTCCTGTTTGGGAGCAGAGCGAACACTAGAGGCGCGACGCGCTGGAAGTGAATCGCATGAAGAGTGTAGAGCTGGTCGAATGGCTGAGAGGTAGGCTTGAAGTCCCATCAGCGAACAATTGATGAGAATTCGCAAAGAGATCCAAGTTCTTTTGGGTGCCGAAAATCACCACCCGCTGTCGAAAAGGACAAACTGCGCATTCTTATACAGTGAATACGGCTCTTCGATGACCAACTCGCGCAAATTCTGAGGCTCCGGTGGTGGAGCGTGCACTAAATTTCGTTTGTGACGAATGATGCGTTTGACGGTTTCCTTGGACGGCAGTTTGGCCTGAACTGCGACTGGGGCTGGAGTTTCGCTTGAATCCGCAGCGCGCGTTTTAATTGCGTTCATCGCGTCTTTTGCTTTTTGAGCGGCGACGTCAGGCTCATGGTTGTGCTTGTAATTGTGATGTACGATTTCGGACTCAAGAGTATGGCATCCGCCGCGACATTTAGTCGCCGTCGTGTAATTGCCAAATTTCCTTCTCCCCAGGGAGTCCGTGGCATTCTTTGATGTATGAGTAGCCCTGATCCGTGAGGATTTGCTTCCCCTTTTGACTGACATAGTGAGTGGCATCTAAAACCAAAAACGCATTTAATAAATACGGTCTTGTGGCGGGGTATCGGGTTAAGTTGTCAACGAGCAATAACCGCGCTATTGCTACCCCGGGTAAGCACCGGCCCGAATAGATATAAGTATACACCTTGTATACAGATAACAGTAATTCAAACTAAATTAAATTACTTACCTTAAATTAAAATTCACTAGCGTGACACCCACTTGACTGAAAGAACGAGACGAAATACAAAGAACAGACTGAAATAAGGCTTCACTTTTTGCTAGCATCCTTTCAAGCCTAGAGGGTCCCACGCCATGTTCTTTCCGGACACCTATTGTAACGGCCCAGCCGGCACGACACGCGGTGAGTGGCCTGGCCGGAGGGATGCCCTGTACATGAAGGAAGAGCTCTCTGTGAGCCGCCCTTGGGAGACCGTAGTAGGTGCATGACCCCCTAGGGGCCACGCCTGACCTCTGACCCTTGACCCCAATCAACAGATCCTCTCTATTAACCCTCTTCTAGTCCCCAGCCCTTGGAAAAACCGGTACACTCGGTATAATTCTAACTCGTTTCACGAACACTCGCTTTCTAAAAGTCTAATTGTTAAAAAGGACTTCAAACGTTGTCTGTACGTAAGAAACTATCATGAGAAAAATGAGGAACAACAATGATTTTCAGCCATGACTCGATGAGCCAAACTTGGCTCATGAGCCATAGGTTCCCGACCCCTGCTCTAGTTGCCTTTTATTCTCAGCCACCTCTCTTTCCATTTCATTCTGACACTCACAGATTAGAAACGGAGTTAGGTTAACAGTTTAGTCCAGCTTCCAAGTGCCCAGAAATGAAGGCCAGTGCCCTAGGATCGCTCGCACCTCACGAGTGAGGTTCTCCCCCTTCTTCCCCATTCAGGCTGAGAGCTGATTAGAGTTCACTTATTTTTTTTTTTTATGCCCATCGCTTACAAGTGATAAGCATCGTCCTCCCCACCCCTATACTCTTCGGGATTAAACATTCCTGACTTCCTGATTCTTCTCTTCCCTCGAGTGTAGATATCCCCGACCGTCTCCTTTGTATATAATTGATTTATGAGTTAATGGTGTATTAGCTTGGTCACTCGTTCCCTTTTATCCCCTTGGTGCTATCCTGATTGCTGTAAGCTTTAGGAGCACGCCGCCGAAACTCGAAGACCCATCATGGACACCCGACTCTAGGAGGAACTAAAGTAGGTCGTTATGAAAAAATAAAAAATAAAACTTATTTGGGTCTGAACATAGTCGGGACGAGATAGAAGAACACTAAGGGTGGTGGTCATCGCTCTCTTTTTTTTTCGCGCAGAACCATAACAATATTATTTTAATCCTGGACACCGATGCCATCCTGCATTCAAATCGTGATTTCTACTTTTGAAGGATTCTTGAAAAATCACACGTCTGGCAAAGTCATACAACATTCAAGCATTGCGCTCTTGAGGTCTGGATGTTTTTCTCATCTCAAGTTTTTTTTTCCATTCAAAAGCATATATGCTCAGTCAGCTGTTTGTCACAAGTTCTGCAAGGTTTTAGATCATCATTCCACAGTTGTCAGGAGTGAGAGGAACACAGAGCTTCGATATCAGAAACAGATTTAGGACATTTCTTTGTTAATATCTCAATTCCATCTTGAGTCACCAAAACATCATCCTCAATTCGGATCCCAATTCCACGAAATTCCTCAGGGACAGAAGTATCCTTTGAATCTATGTAGATCCCAGGTTCAACAGTGATGACCATTCCTGGCTTGAGAAGTTGACTCCGGGAGATAGTACTTGTATCATGAACATCCATTCCAAGATAATGACTAGAATGATGAGGACATAATCGATATGCAGCCTTGGCAGCATCACTCACAGACAGACGGGGACTCAACAGTCCATGATGCTGCAGTTCAGATCCAAGATATTGACACATATTATCAAAGATGGCATTGAGGTCCATATGCTCTGCACAAAGGGTTAGTAACTGTTCTTGGATGCCAAGAACAATTCTGTATAGCTTGGCTTGGGGAGGAGTAAATTGTCCAGCAACAGGCCATGTCCTTGCCATGTCACTGCAATAACCATGAAGATCACATCCAGCATCCATCAGCAACAGATCTGAATTTTGAAAAAGTTGGTTGTTGCTGGTATAATGGATGATGGTTGCACGAGGCCCACCTGCAACCACAGGTGGGAATGCTAATGGAGCACCTCTCAGTCGACATTCATAATCAGTGTGTGCCCATATCTCCCATTCACTCTTACATCTTCTCATCATAGAGGTTAGAAAAGCATCACAGATGATATCACAGCTCTTTCGCATCAGGGAGATCTCAGCTGGAGACTTGAAAAGCCTAAGTTCATGTAACACCAACTGGAGGTCCATCAGAATATGGCCTTCAATAAGGGCTTCAACTTTCTTCCCTATTGAATCATTCATTGGAGATTTGTTGTACCAAATCACACTGTCTTTCTTCAGTTCCTGTTTCAAAAATGGAATTAATGAATGCTGAGGCAGAACTTGATCCACTCCAAACAATGAGAGAGCAGCCTCAGGATCAGTTCTAGGACCTTCCCATTTCTCCTGAGAGGTACTTGGGATTGGGAGGAAAAGAGTAGTCTCAAAATTATCAACACATGAGCTACGAAAACAAAGTACACTGCTGGGCTCCATGCATCCAGAGAGATACAAAAAGTCAGAGCTCTGTCTAAATACATATGGGATGTTTTCAGCCATGTATCTGACAGGGGCTGCAACCACAATCACAAGTTGGTCTTTCTGAGCTGTAAATTTCTCCCTGGAGCAACGGTGAATACCATTTATGAAATTTCTACGTCTGGTATGATATTCACTCAGGAGAATGCCTGGGTTGACTTCTCCTTCCTTCAGGAGATGAGGATGCGACTCTGGTGTTGGCTGAGCACATGTTGCTTTCCTGGATGCAGGGTTCTGCTGCACTACAGCTCGAAGACAGAGTTTGCCCGACACTGAAGACCAGAACTGCGACTGTAATGAAATGAGAAAAAATTTGGATACTTGGAAAACTAAAAAATATAACTTCATCTTTGCTTTTCAGCATCACACAGATCAAGGTTTCTGAGCTGTTTCAGTTCCAAACTTGACTTGTTCCTCACACCTTAGAATTAAATATGTCAATCCAAAAAACATTACCATGGTGACTAGGCTTAGGACAACCATTGAAAACTAAAGAATGGATACCACTGCATAAAATCTTCCAAAAAAATTTTAAAAAGCTGCATTTCAGGCATTGGATGGGGAAATCCTCAATGTACTTCTCTTTGAACATATTCAACAATACAAATAATCTCACAGTGAGATGGGCACAATTACAATGCATCTTTTTCAAGTAATGACCTAATCCTGCTCCTGGAGAGTACAAAATTCTGCCACACCTTATCAAAAATGCATCATGCAACATCTTGCAACCAAAATTTGCAGGAAGCCATGGAAAATATACCTACATGAAGTCCAGTGCCCTTCCTGTATCTATGACCACTCTTTCCACTAAACTGCAGCTTTTGGGTTTCTCTATAAGAAGGAAAGCCTAAAGTAATACAATGTCCTTATGAATCATGATTTATTTAAACTTGTCATTTAGTGCAAATTTTCCTTTCTCTCAGTCTTCACTGTAACTATGCAAATACAGGGTGGCCACAAATTAGTGGACGATTTGGAGGGAGAACACATAAGGAAAACTTATTTACCACAAAACAATCTCCCAACATTCAAGTTTTTTCCCCGTATAGATGAAGGTTCATAATTTTACCACTAGTGGTGTGACGATCAGATGAACAGTCATGGCAGAGTTCAGTGGAAGTGAACGTGCATTTTGCTGTTATGCATATGAAGAAACGCATTCTGCTACAGTGTCGTTTTTGGATGAAGTTCGCAAAAAGAACATCTATCTAGACCCCTCTACCATGGTCCATAGAGGAACTTAAAGACAGAATCTGGGATGCTGTAATGACAGTCAACCAGGATATGCTACAACAAGTGTGGGATGAAATTGCCCATAGGTGAGATGTGTGTCGTGTTAACAAAGGAGCCCACATTGAGCACCTGTGACCACATGTGAAAAAACTTGGATATTGGGAGACTGTTTTGTAGTAAATAAGTTTTCCATATGTGTTCCCAATAAAAAAAATTACAAGCCCTCCAAATCGTCCGCTAATTTGTGGTCAACCTGCACTTTCAAAATTGGTGTACATAACCCAATACAATGCACCCTCCCTCGCTTCATCACATTTCAATATCATTTGGAAAGTCTGGATGTGAAGTGGTCAGTTTCTGTTAACCAAAAGGTGGGGTTGCCAAGAATAAGTAGCCCCCCATTTGCCTAATTGTGCAACTTTCACTGACTGTGGGCACTTCAATCCTAAACAAATTGTCATCACATTAGGTAGAGATTATGAACATACATTTGATGCTGCATCTGGAGAATATCGAAGTTTTCAAAGTTACAGTTTTGAAGATATATATGTTAAATGAAGAGATATATGTTAAAAATAAAAAACAGGTAAAGTAAATACTTGCCCTGTATTTGGGGTTCGTTGAATTCATTGGTTTCATCAGCAGAGGTGCAGTGAGTTTTATGGCAAATAAAACATTGCCAACAATCTGAAGCTTTAGTTATAACTTTTCTTCTACTTTGAATGCATGATAAAGGAATGCAAGTTGTTGCATGTCTCCAGGCAACATAAAAGAGTCTTTTTACCAACTGGAGAATTCTCAAAATAGCTTCTTTTTCCTGTCAACAAGTTCTGACATGGTCAGAACACTTTAACTAACCCTTTAACTGCTATGACTGAGTTACCTCAACTGGAAAATTGTCTCTTATATTTCTTACCTGAGAATTTTCAGGACAATCTGTACCAGTCTAGATATACACTTACAAAATAAGGTAAATGAGGCAGCATATATATTCTTTTTAAAAATAGTGCACACAATGGTGTGCCAGAAGCAAAGAACTCGGAACAGGAATGTGTAAAAAAAAAAAAAATGTAGCAGTGAAAGGGTTAATGCACCTTCACCAGCACCAGAAGGATGGAGAAAGTGGCAGAGAGAATAAGGAAAAGGTAAAGAAAAACTAAAACACTAGCAAGAGTCAAGATTCTGTCATTCAGCTCCATCCCCTCTGCCAGAAAACTTCCCTCTCCCTAGATGTGAGTCCCTGTGGGACTTAAAAACATTATGCCACTTGCATTGCTGGCTTACCTGCTCTAAGGATTTCCCATGGGGAACTCTCCCTTACCTAGCATATCTGGGTCTTGATGAAACTGGACTTTTCAACATATTCCTTGATGCATTTTTCCAACTGATATGCCCATGCATCATATGCATCTTGTGGGCCATTTTCTGACATAAATCAAAGCTCTTAATGCATAGCTGCTTTGAGCTCCAAATTAATGTCGAATATGTGTCCATTAAGCTCCCTCTTCAGATTGGGAAAGAACCATCATAAGTCAAGGGGGGGAGCAGGCAAGTGGTGTCTGCATACACCACACCTCTAATGTTGGTTACTGGTTCTGCTAAATATGCCAGCAAAGCATCCCAATTGTCAGAGAACATTAGACCCATGATCTTGCCTTTAGATTTGCCCAACTAGGCTGTTTGTCATCAGCAATTGATTCACAACCATTTTACTATGTTCATTTCAGCAGATGTGCCTGTTGCAGACATCCCATAGCTGACATAGTCATGAACTTCATACTGTTGCCCTACTTCTAGTAAAACTTCCATCACAATGGATGTCACAGACGACTCTCAAAGTGCGAATCACACAAGAACAGGTTCATGTGACTGAAAATCCTCATAACAACCATGAGGGCTTATATCAGTGGCAACCATTATTTCACATTAAGGTATGCAGGAGCAATGCAGTTTTGGCATTTTAAACCCCTCAGGTAGCAGCAGCATCATATTAGCTTTCCATTTTCTATTTCATGGTAGCTGTGGAATCATTGAAGTTTTTGACATTAAAGGTGGCATATATGGGTAAGTTCATAAAAATATACAAGGTCTGCTCTGAAAGTTTCTGGCCTCACCTGGCTACATATTTTTTATGTGATAGTTCTTGCAGTATTTGTGAATATAACTAAATTTCCCTTGATAGGTCAACTTTTAAGTGATTTCAGTGATTGCTTGAAAAGAAACAGCTTGTGAAACTTTTAGAGTTAGGATTTTTTATAAATGGAAATGGAAGAGAGCATTTTTGCACCATCACCAATTTTGTTTTTTAAATTTGTTTGCCTGGGAGTAGTCGCAGGGTCGTTTCCCTGGTGCTCATTGGGGAACCTTTCGCATCATATTCCACAGTCATACTTGGTTTTTGAGAATTTCATCAAGCTTCAGTTTTTGATGAGATACTTCCTGGAAGTCCAGGAGAAACTTTGACCCCAGCGAATGATGACCATGCAAAGATATTGGTGATAGCCAGTTCTTGCAAAGCATCAATACACTCTCAACATTGGAGTAAATGTTATCATTCCTGATCACCTGGGGTTGTGGGACCACTTCTGCTATTGGGTACCCCAGAAACTGACAGAGGTCCAGATAGTGACCAGGGGCCTGTTCCTTGCCTCTGCTAAACTTAAATCTATATCTAAATCGAAATGCCATCTAAAAGCAGTCTAAAATCAAAAAGTAAATTCTCCGCCCTCACCCTTTAGACTAAGATTTAGATTTAGTTTTAAGTTTAGCAGAGGCAAGGAAAGGGACCCAGATTTGGCTGGTGTCATTTCATGCTTTAATACAAATCAGGAGAGCCAAAAACTGTTTCTGAAATTATGACAGGTGAAAATACCATAATTTATAACTACGATCCAGAATAAAAACGATAATTCTCAGTTTTGGTGCTTCCAGAAGAGGAGCCTCCAAAGGAGAATTGCCACAGCATGACAGTTGATAAAAAGATGGGTGCTGTTTTCTTTTGGCACCATGGCTTGGTGAAAGTGATGGACCTTCAAGAATGTACAACAATGAATACTGATTAGCACTGCAAAGTGTGGTGGCCTCAGGGGTTCCAGCTTCTGGAGGTCAACGTCAGTGGTCAGGTTTTTGGGGAGGTTCAGCTGCATCACGACCGAGCAAGTGCCCACACTACAGTACAACATTTTGACTCCTTGGCTGAAAAAGGTGCGCAGTTGGTCACTCATCCACTGTATTCCTCCGACCTGGTCCCATGTGACTTTTATTTATCCCCAAAAGTCAATAGGGAGCTGAGAGGCACTTTTCAAAAGCAACAAAGGGCTGCACTTACAGCACTTGAAGCTGTCCTGAAAATTCTGACTCCATCTGATTGGTGTAGCTCAACTCAGAAGTGATTTGGGAGGATGAAAAAATGTGTTTGGTCTCATGATAAATATCATAATAATAAAGGTTTTAGGCCAGAAACTTTTGGAGCAGCCCTTGTAACATAAGTCATCACAGGCAGAAATATGGGAGGAAAAGGAGAAAAAGCTGGTATGTACAGCCAATTTCCAACAATGTAAGAATGCCATGAAATTGAGAACAACCTGTGGCTAGTCTGCACAGCTGGGTTTTATTTATTTATTGACTTATTTCTCTTGATGCATAACAGTAAGAAAAGTAAGAAGTACTACTCCTGGTATGCATACCAACAGCTGAAAATTTCTGAGTTATTTATAGTATTTTTAGAATTTCTGATAATTGGAAGGGAGATATATTGTGCAATCAAGTTTACTACATGATTGATAGGTGAAATGCGAAATTATGAGATATTTCTTAGCATAAGGAAAGTCTTACTTGCTTCAAGGGACCTGCTTATCTCAGGCAACCCTAGATCAATAGATCAAACAATAGCTAGAAACCCAAACCCTAGATCAAACAATAGAAATAAATGGCAGTGGACATTTGAAGGTTGCAAGTTCTCTTAGAGAGATGATGGTATAAAAATTTCAGTATTTTTTACCTGTAATAAAAGCACCTCATCTCCAGTATGTAATGTCTATAATATGATGTTCCTATACAAGTAATAAAAAAGCTCTTGCATATTTAAATCCAGTTAGTTTTTACTGGTCACAAAATGTGATTATTGGCTTTCATACAAAACATCTTCACCTTCTGATCTTGCTTTCATTGTAAGCTCCAGACATAATATTGGATGTATTTTTGGTTTTGGGAATATCAGGCAGGAAGTATGAATACTGTATTATATGTAACTCTACAGTATGATTTAGAAAGGATGCACTAAGGGGAAATAAGGACATCATGTAATAGGACATAAATGTGTCAGTATAGGTGATCTGGTATTTTGCCATGGTGAAATACAGTGCTAAGGAAAGAGTGGACATGGTGTTTATGCAAGAAAGGTAGAATAAGAGTACTTCCAGCACTAGTGAAGGTGCACAATGTGAAAATTCGTTCTTAATACGGTGATTTCCTTATGAGTATCTTTCTTCTTGACCCTCCATATCAGTGGTTGGCAACTGAATTCCATGGGGATCCAGATGAAAGAATGCTTTACATTTACAGGCCAACTCCTATCAAGAGTTATTAAAATGAAAATTTTAATGAATGTCTAATCATTAGATATTCATCAAGACATCAAGCCTTGATATAGCAGGCCAGAGGAAAGATTTCTGCCTGGAAGGATCTGGCTTGCAAGTTGCCTGTTGCCAACCACTGCACAATATCCAAGCTTCAAACAGAATAGGACAGTTTCATAGTTACATGGGAACATTTTGAAAACTTCACAGGCCAATATTAAATACATCAGTTTCGTATTGTACTGGCAATTCAGCATAGGGATATTGGTACTCAGTGCTAAAATGGTACTCTTCATAAGTACCTCTTGAAATGTTCTACATTGTAATAATATTTTAAATTTTAAATGCATGAATTAGTCTATTATATGCTCCATATACAGGTAGGAAAACAATGTTGTCTCTGCTGACCAAACTGTGCTACAGTCAAAGAAATAACCATTTACAAACATTCATGAAATCTGAGAGTTAGGTCTCCTTCCCCCCTCCCTACACCAATTATTCCCACACAACAGTGAGGCATCCAGGAGGGGGAAGGGACTGGATGCCTCCTGTGATTCATGGAAATCCCTGACTCACAAGGATTAAGGGAGGTTCATTTCTCCCATTTTTCTTCCCCATCTTCTCTGCTCCTTTCTCCTTGCTTTGCATCCCTCCCCTTGCACATCAGCCTTGCTTTAGCCCCCCTCAAGAATAATTTCTGCATCTGTCCTTACCACAAAAGCTGATCAGAAGCTTTTAATGTCATACCCATAATGTTATGCTTATGAGACATAGTTAGGATCAAATTTGGACATTTAGCACATCAACTACAAGAACTCAAAGATCTATTGAACAAACAGGACTAAAATCGACACCAGTCCCTTGGAGACTTATGATAGACTCCTACAGACCAGGGGAACACCACAAAAGGACCATCAATCGACCATCTAACGATCAATCAATCATGATTGGGGTTAAAAGATGAAATTCTTGTGAAATTCTGCATAGGAGACTTTTGAATTCATGCTGTGTATCAATCATGTCTTCCTGACAAAAAAATATGTCCTCTGGCAATGAGTCCAATCTTGATTATTCAGCAATGGAGTCAACTGCAGAGCTCATGTTGAGATATCATATATCAGCCTTAATTTGTATGCTCATCAAATAAGAGAATAGAGAGGACAAATGAGAATGGATATGAGAAGCTCTGATTGAGTTTTGGAGATGGAGTGCATTATAATACTTGCAACCCACCAAAGAGTAAGATGTAAAAGCCTCTTTTCCAATGTACTGATAAAGACTGTTTCTTGATGCCAGTATAATGAGCTCATCAAGATGGCTTTGTTGGAACTGCACTCAGAAATAGGCTTAAATTCCTGCACATCTTGGCATCATGCCAAGCTCTATCTATAATTGGCAAACTCAACAATGTAAATTTTGAATAATTTGTGTACATCTTGCCATTAAGTAAGTTAATGCAATATCATTTTTGAAATTCATGATCACCAATAATGTTTCAGCATACAAAAGACTTAAGAAAAACACATTTATACATCAAAAAGAGGCATTAATGCAAAGATTAAAGGCAAACTCAATTTGACTAGGGGCCAGATAGGGTGGTTCAGGGGTGGCGGGGGCCATACCAACAAATCTTGCACCAAATTTCTAAGCAAACAAGTTGAAATTGGCAGCACTTTTCCAAAACCTACAGCTGAAGAGGACTTCACAGGCCAGACAAAATGAAATGGCAGGTCAAATACAGCCCACAGGCAGTCAGTTTGAAACCCCTGGCATTAGAAAAAGCTATCACCTTGCCTCAGACAGATAGAGGATTTTCTCTCTTTCAAGGAACTGCTGTTGTAGTACTTTCAAAGTTCAAGGGAGATTATGTAGTCCTTAGGGTAATAATTATTCCTGACAAAGAGTATTATGTTCAGCAACTTGCCTATTGCAAAATTAATAACCACATGCATACCTAACTTTTGCATTACATTGTAACATCATGGTACACTTACAGATTCTTTATTAGTCATTTGATGTATCTGCATGTTTTCTTTATTTGGATCTAGACTTCACAATTTACTACTTGTGTCTTAAGGATAGCATGTTTAGAACCCGCACGTATGGACGATCTTCCACTTATAGACAAGGATTGTGACTTAGTGATTTTATACAAGTGAAATAAACCAATACAAAAATAGTCAACATTTGTAACGCTAGTCCACATTACCATGAAAACTTTCGATTATCACGTATCAGCAAAGGCATTTAAAAAAAAAAGTCGAAGAGCGATGTAAAAGCTAATGTTAAAGCATGCTGATGAAAGCTAACTCGAAAACCTACGAACCTCCCAGAAGTGAAGGAAACTTACATATAATATATTGTACGCGATACATCCCCTGCGTAGCTTAGACATGGCCAGCATACAGAATTGTGCAATTGCTGAGACCCGTTGGAACGGCAGGGGAGCACGTGCACCAACGCAAGGCGCCATGATGGGTTAAAGATAATTCGCTGGGTGGTGCATTAAGTTGGAGACATCTGGCGGCAGGAAGCATAAAAATGAGCGGGGGGGGATGCAAAGCAAGGAGAAAGGAGCAGAGAAGATGGGGAAGAAAAATGGGAGAAATGAAACAGAAAAATCGAAACAGAAAAAGCAGGGGTAACCAAAGTCAAAACTGAGAAAGAGAGCAACTTGGAGAGGACAGATGCGAAAGGCAGTTCTTTGAGATAATGAAAAAGGAGTAAACATATATGGGCGAAATCGCCTCTTGATATCACTAACTATCTCGAATCTTGAAAGCACTACACGACAAAAGAATGGAAAGGGTTTTTACTGCTTACTCTATAAAACTACTGAGTCTTCGCGATTGCGTTTTTTTTTCAATATTGACTTCATCGTGCGCTTCCCACGCACTCCTTTCTCCATATGTGTAGGATAAAGATAGGGGAGGTGCAAAAGTAGTGAGACTTGTGCTTTTATTGTCTTTCTTTCGACAAATGGATCCACAGATGGGGAAAATGTGTATTGAGGCAGGGAGACTACGTTGCAGTGGCGTAGGGAAGGTGGGGTTTAGGGGGTCACAGCCCCCCCTTGGACTTCCTGGTTAGTGACAGTCAGGCACATTTCAG